CTCTCCCTCCCCCTCTCTCTCCCGCTGTCTCTCATTTAACGATAGTTAGTACATGTTTATGAACAGCACAGCAATGTGTAAGTGTAACATCTGCCTGCTACGTACACATGTAGCTCTCATAATATATATATATATGATTATATACTTATATATTATATATTTGTTCAATAGTTCTGTATATTTGTGTCCATGCAGCTCTCTCTGACACCCGTGACGCCTGCCAGGCGTGGCCCTTCTACACGCCGGAGCCGACAGCGCCACCTGTCGGTTCGTAACCTGATGCAAACAACGCTGTGGAATCTTCGCTGCTCTACACGACCCAGCTCGACTCGGTAAACCTGCCAAAAAACACACCCCGTAAACACGTAGAGATGTTACTACTGTAGAAACAGATCCGGAGGTGTATGAGTAAGAGTTATAAATGTTGTAGCAAGTATATAGAACCCTCATATAAAACCTTTAAGAGCTCATCTAAATTTGTGTACAAAACTCCTGAGAGCCCATATGAACGTCTATATAAAACCGAGAAGAGCGTATGTAAACCCCGGGGGGCACTCACCCCACATTATGGTAGGTATGTGCCACTGCGCAAGTCAAAAATGAGTGGCTCTGGAACTATCTCAGACCTGAAAAATGGGGGTCTCTGGAACTAATGTTGTTGAATGTGGATTCATGTGTGAATGTTCGAAAATGTAAACTTGTGATGCTCTGAACGAGATATTCTAAAAATGCGATGCACTGGAACGGAAGTTTAGCGTGAAAAAGAGGGGGTCTCTTCCGCGGCACATACCTACCATGCAATATATATGGAGTGCCCCCCCCGGGATTTAAACCCTCATATAAAATCTTTCAGGGCTTGTTTATATCCTTATTATGTTCACGCGTTATTTGTGTATAGGTTCTTGGTAAGTTAAATTACTATGTAATTTGGAATAACAGACCGTCGTGCTATATTCCCCACTCCTGACTTACAATGATTAGTTCTCTCCCACGTGAACACATACCTCTAGATCAATACAGATACGCAAACATGGAGATTGCTGTTCAAAAGCAACGTGGTTGAGCTAGCTCTGCCCCTGTGCGCCGCCATGGAGCCAAATGCCTGTGACGCTGGGTGAAACGAACACGGGTGGCGCTATACGGTGTACCAAAATCAAAATTTTGAATAAGAACCACCCTAAATCTATCGTTAGTGTGAAGATAAGATGGATGACAAAGACAAGATGGCTGGGTTATCTCGCTAGGGTGTAACATGTTACGTCTACGTCATAGGTTTTCAAGTTCTGCGACAGCGACGGTGGCGCCACCCAGCACAACCGTAACGCACCTCACCGGCATCAGCGCATGTGCGGTGGACGCAGCGCCTATGACGTCATGCTGCAGCACAGCGACTTCACGGCTGGTAGGATTACTGATATATATATATATATATATATATATTATAGATAGAGAGAGAGAGAGAGAGAGAGAGAGAGAGAGAGAAGGAGAGAGCGCCGAGAGAGACAGACAGAGAGAGAGAGAGATTAAAAGACAGAAAGAGAAAGAGAAAGATAGACAGAGAGAGACAGAGAGATAGAGAGGGAGAGAGAGAGAGAGAGAGAGAAAGATAGAGAAAGACAGAGAGAGAGAGAGAGATAGAGAAGAGGAGAGAGAGAGCAGAGAGAGAGAGAGAGAGAGAAAGAAAGACAGAGAGAGAGAGAGAGAGAGGAGAGAGAGAGAGAGAGAGTGACAGAGAGAGAGAGAAAGAGAGAGAGAGAGAGAGAGACAGAGATAGGGAGAGATAAAGAGAAAGAGGGACAGAGAGAGTCAGAGAGAGAGAGAGAGAGAGAGAGAGAGAGAGAGAGAGAGAGAGAGAGAGAGAGGAGAGAGGAGAGAGAGTGACAGAGATAGGTCTGAGGTTCATAATACTGTTATTCACAAACTGTGACTATGACTATAAACAATGTTTCCATTATTAAAACACAATACGTTATACGGACAATGTCGAAAACAATGCAGCAATTGTCAATCAACAATGAAGGTGACTCCAAGAGAGTACTCCAATGTTTATTAACAATGCAGGGACCAAGACGCGCGAAAATTTCTACAGCAAACACCGCCAACAGAGTTCTTCGTGTTAAGCAGCCTACAGCAGAGTAGCTATTAAGCAAGCGCAGAAGAAAGCAACCGTCATAGCTCTGGATGTGTCTGACGTCATGGTGGGTGTACAAGCTAATATCCATCTAGTATTTATTTATTATCGATATTATTTATTAATAATCGAACGCTCATTGAATTGAAGCACGATTGGATGATGGTTTTCTACAATGGATATTTATATGTGTTGTTGATTTAATCAAGTAAATGTCAATATCAGTTGTTGGCTTTATGCGTCTGCTTATTTTATTATTTATTAATTATTATTGCTTTCATATTTATTTATTATCTATTTTTATTCAATTATCGATTCATTGATCTGTGTAACGGGTGATTGGTTCGTGCGCAGGGAACATGGCTGCCCCGGATCGAGCCAGCGTTGGCTGTCTACATGAGGGAGTGGTATCCAGCAGGAAGGTACTTTGATTTGCAGCCGTATAACTATGATGAGAGTGGGCTGTCACTGCGGGAGCTCACAGACGCCGCCGTGAGGGAAGACTATGTCACCAAGCTACAGGAAAGGTACGTTCACGCTTGGGGTGATGCCATATAAATGACAGAGAATAACCGACATTACTACGTGTGTGTGTGTGTATGCGCGCGCA